TTAGAATAGAATCTAAACCCCGTATATGCACCTACAAGGCCCTGTATGACCCAGCCTCTGCCCACCTGCCAATCCCTTCCCAGCCTCATCTATCCTCCTCGTCTCCCAAATGTACCAGGTGAGGGTACAGAGGAAAGGAAGTCATTAGATCAGCAGTTCTCAACCTGTGGGTCGCGACCCCTTTGGCGGTCGAACGACCCTTTCATAGGGGTCGCCTAAGACCATCCTGCATATCAGATATTTACATTACGATTCATAACAGTAGCAACATTACAGTTATGAAGTAGCAATGAAAATAATTTTATGGTTGGGTCACAACATGAGGAACTGTATTTAAAGGGCCAGAAGGTTGAGAACCACTGCGTTAGATTGAGAGTATATATGCATAGCTACCTGTGGAGTATGAGCCTATAAATAATGTATACATGTTCGTATGCACATTTAACCAGTCAGAAAGAATGGTTTTTAAGAAGACTGCAAAGTGCCACGGTAGAGCAGCAAGGGCACATGGTGAAGCAGCTGTGGCTGACCTTATTTATGTTCACTACCATTCAGCACCACAGCCGAGAGAGGAAAACGCTGCGTGTTTCAGCATGTCCACCTGCCAACTGACATTTTATGTTGAGACCTGTCCTTTCCGCGGTTGTACTAATAAGGCAACCAGACACAGGACTGAGCGTGAGCCTCAGCAATGCAGGGTGACAAAGTGGAAGTCAAATTCTGCTTCTGCTCCCTCGGCCTCCAGCCAGGCGAACCTCGGTTCCATCATTCAGAAAGGCGGGGGACTGTCCCAACCACCCAAGTCTCCTTCCAAGTCAAATCGTGATGATTCTGTCACCTCCTTGCTCCTGCAGAGACTTGGAGCTTCAGTGACTAAAGTGATAGCATTTGACCGACAAGGGAACTGACCAGGAAGAGACGCGCTTTCTATTTTATACTGTCACAAACCTACATGGGCCCTACACAATTTCTTCTTTTTTCTTTCTATTTTTCAAAGTAATTCAAGGGATACCTGAACTCAGAGTACTTCTTAGAAGCCACTGTGAAATTTCAATGTACTAAACAGCTTCGTACAAACCAGGAAACGTCTCTCAAAGGCCTGTAGCATGAGACCATGAAAAAGCAAGGTGTGACACCGAGCCAGTGTCAGCCCGAAGCTAGCTTGTCTGCCACTCATTTCTACATGTTTACTCCCTCTGTAACCTGAGAACTCTCACTAATAAATAAGCAACACCAGGCACCAAAGTTCCAGGAAAACACCATGGGAGAGAAAATTCTATTACTTTTTGTTTGGCTGCAACTTTGGATGGAGTTTCCACAGTTCTTTATCAGGAGATCACTATGTTCTAGTTGTTCTTTGGGACCATGGTTTGAGCACGGCTGCTATAAAACTTATCTTTCTTACTTGAAAGACGTCCACCTATCTTTCTCTTACTGCAAAGGGGCACTGAGAACTGGACGCTAGAGAGCATCTCTAAGGACCTGGAGCATCTATGCCAGCCTCCTATTAAAGCTGTGACAACCAAAATACGTCTCCAGATGAAACCCACGTCCCAAGGCAAAAGCACGCTGGTTGAGAACCACAGCTCGGTATCTGAGCAACAGCACAGTATCTGCATAAAAAGAAAGAAAGGGTCTAGGTGGCAGCTAGAGAAGTTTCTTAAAAGCACACCCAGGTGGGACAGTCAACCCATTTCATTCTGGGAAATGAAAATCCAGCCTTAGCCATCATTTAGCTCTCCCAACTCAAAAATCCATTTATCTGGTAAGCTTCTAAGCGCCAATAAGTTTAGAAAGTAAGAAAGAATTATAATTGAAAAATTCACAAAGCACAAAGACATACTAAGTGCTTTTCCAGACCTCAACATAAACTATCTCGAGATGGCAAACTGGTTTTAACTTCTCTGCCAAGTCCAATCACCGGGCAGTGGCTGCCTGGACCCCTAAACTGAGCAGGATTCTGAGGCTGAATGTGAACCAGCAGGGCATGGTGACGAGTAGGCCTCACATCCACCTCCTTTGGTGTTCAACTTTCTTAATGCTCAGAATCACAGCCATTAAATTTGGCTGTAATAAAACATTCTGGAAAAAAAGAAAGTAATCCACCAGGCTTACCAAACTGGGGAGAAATAAAAGGAAAAAAAGAAATCTGATCCCATCACTCTCCTACTTAAAAGTTGGCTCTGGATTCTCAACTTCCAGAGGATAACGTCTCAACCAGGGGAGCCTACAAAGCCTTCACAATGCATTCACATCCTACTTCTCCCAAATGTCCTGTACCCCCCCTCTCCACGGTGTCACCCAGACACCAGCACCACCTGCAAACTGGTTGGAAATGCAGCATCTCGGGCTCACCCAGCTCTGCTCTGAACAGAAGCCCAGGTGAATTATAGGCACATGAAAGTGTGGAAACGGTGTCTGGGGGAACTTGCCAGGTTCCTCCAGACTCAGTTCTTCACAGGCAGGTAGTGTCTCCCCCAGGTGAATGTGTGTGGCACATGCAGGTGAGTATGGGCAAGCTGCCTCCACTCATCTCGTCTATTAAAGCAGGAAAGCCCAAATGTCCACCTACAGCCTCCACAGCAGCCAGGAGTGAAGTGACAAGGTTAGTCAATGAGATGTCAGCAGAAGCCTGCTGCGGGGGCTTCTGGCAGAACTTTTATTTCCCTAATGACTTCCTGCCTTGACTAGGTAGAAGTCAAGGTGGCAAACACTAAGGACAAAAAGCCAATAAGAACGAAGGATAACAGAGTAGAAACCAGAAATGGTCTGGATCCTAAATGGTTGGGCAAGCCTTCAATAAATGGGAGGTGAATGAAGGAGTGCAAAGTGAAACCTACTAAGGTTCAGAGATTACATTTTTTTAAAAAAAATAGGGCCTCTAAGAATCTGTTCAGCTTTACGAAAGCATACCTACAAATCAGTCTCGGCATTTCTAGAATCACTGACCTATTTCTGTCCAGCTTTTTAGTGGATAAAAGAATGAACACAATCTCTTAAAAAGCAAAGGAAATGTTCTCATACCAAAACACTGTTGAAATTGATTTTTCACATTTGGAAAAAAGGAGAACATGAAACTTAAAACACTGGGCTCTGACCTTAAAAAGTTTGTAATTGCTGTGGCTACTCACAGGCAACTATAAGCAAAATTAAAAAAGAAAAAGATTTCTTTTACAGTTGCTGGTTGGTTGTCATCCTCTCCTACTTATTTATTTTGAGATTTCTGACATGAACCTCATTTTTTCCAGTCCTATACTAGTCAAGTACTTCCATTCAAATTTCCAAGATCAAACGGCAGTCACTTTTTCTCTTTGAGAAAACAGGGTAGAACAACATAAATGTAAATATAATGTAAGTAAAGTGTATTAAAAGGAGAGGGGCACCTGGCAGTGCTGTTCCTCAGCAAGGAAAGTCCTCAACCAAGCTCCGGCTCCTCAGACAGATGACCATTTTATATTTTAATCAAGTCATTCATCCTTAAATAAAAGGATTTTTAAAAGAAACTTCATAGCATCAGTGAAAAGCCAGTACTACTTGCCATGAATACAAGACAAATGTAAAAACAAGCCCATTGAAAACATCACTTTACTATATTCCAGCTGCCGTTGCCTACTAAAGCCTCTAAACTTGAGGCTTGTTCTCGCTTTGTTTAAAAAAAAAAAAAAGGTGGGGCGTGAGCAAGCAGTGTTAAGTCACGCTGAGACTTTCTCTTGAGAGTGGCCAGGACAGAAAGAGAAGGGAAAAGGAATGAAGTTTCTCACTGTGTGGTTTCATTCTATTAACTGTTTCCCACCTAGAAGGAATCCTCCTGCAATCTCAAACACCGTCCTTTTGCTGAGAATCACAGCCCATTCATTTCCTTAGTGCAGCCTAAATGGTCCCACCTCACCTGGCTCAGCCCTCGGCTCCAACCCGCTCACTACGAGGACCCAAGGGCCCTATCTAGCCCACTGCCTGGACTTGCATGGCCCGTGAGCTAAGAAAGGTTTGTAAAAATTAATACTTGTATCAAATCTGTGTTGGGGAGAATATCAGGAAAGGCATACTGCTTTCCCCTTTGGCCTCCCACCCTGATTTTGAACGGCAATTAAGCTACACGGTTCTCCCCTGCAAAAATAACAGTCCCGTTCTTCTCATTAGACCTGTGTTACAAAGCATCGTACTCCATGATCACTGTACTTTTACTTCACTCAATACAAACCTTGTAAACACTGGTTTTCTCTTGTTACATAGGCACCTACACAGTAGCCTCGATTTGGCGTCTGGGCCAGCAAAGCCTAAAGCACTGACTCCACTGCCCTTCGCAGACCGCCCGGCCCAGCTCCAGCTCCAGGTCAAGTGCACACCTTCCTCGCGCGGGAGCAGCTTCTGTGGCCCCTCCAGGCCTCCCTGCTGCTCAAGCCTCAGGGCCCAGGCGCCTCCGCCCAGGGGTCGCCCTACGCACGCACGCCCGCCTTGCAGTGGCGGCATCACCAGGTTTCACTGTCTTCAAACCACCGACATGGCCCGTTGACTTATTATACAGTCTTTAGCCACAAAAGCAATCAGAGCAGCAACTACTCCTGGTCCCGTGCACAACGGAAGCCCTTCCATGCGGGGAGCCCTCTTCGTGCCAAGCTCCCAGCGAGAGAGGGTAAAACGTGGGGGCAACGAAGACCCCCTGACTTGCTGGCAGCTCACAGCCACCTCTGAGGTCGGGGCGGAGGAAGCTGGCGCGGTGAGGGGGTGGCTGGGCCGAGGCTGCACGACCAGCGACCCCACCGAGCCCCGGGCCGGCCGGGAGCCTGGACCGGCCGCGTCGGGAGCCCTCCGACGCCTCAGCCGGGCAGGTGGGACCTGGGACGAGCGCTCCAGGAACGGATGCGTCACTCGCGCACTCGGCCCATCCACCGATCCATCCCCCGCGCCCGGTGGCCCGGCCTCGGCCTCGGGGCCCACCCGCCCCTCCAGCCCGGAGGAGGGCGACCTGGGCGGGGGCCGCGGCGGGGAGGGGCGCCCACCTTGAAGTCGCGGCTGTGCTGCGGCGTGTACTCCAGCGTCCAGAGGGCGCGCACCAGGTGCGCCAGCTGCTCGGTGACCTCGCCCGCGGGGGCGCCGGCGGGCGGCTCGGGCTCGGGCTCGGGCTCGGGCCGGCCGGCGCGGTACTGGCCGAGCGCCAGGTACTCGGCGAAGAGCTCGGTGTTGCTGAGGCACTGCAGCGTGGCGTTCATGAAGCACGTGTTGCCGTGGTTGCGGAGCCCCGCCACGCCGGGCACCGGCTCGCAGGCGGGCGGCGCGGGCGGCGCGGGCGGCGGGCCGGGCGGCGGCGCGGGCGGCCGGGCGGGAAGCAGCCGTGGAGGGGGCCGCGGTCCGAGCTGCCGCCCTCGGAGCTCAGGTGCGAGAGCGTGGACAGCGTCCGGAGGACGCGGCTCATGAAGCTGCCCACCGAGCGCGCCGCCGACGGCGAGGGCGCGGCCGGCCCGGGCGCTCCGGGGGCCCCCGCGCCGCCGCCCGCGCGGCCGCTCCGAAACAGCCGCTTGCTGAAGGAGCGCTTCTCCTTCCCGCCCGCCGCCGGCCCGGGCCCGGGCGCCGTTACCTTGGACATGGCGGCGGCCGCCCACGCTCATCCCCGCGCCCGCCCTCCCGGCCCGCGGCCCCGCCACCTCCGCCGCCGCATCCCCCCGAGCCGGGCTGGGCGCCCCGCACGCCTCCGAGCGCCGCCGAGCGAGCCAGCGGGAGGGCGGGAGCGCGCGCGGTCGGCCCAGCTGGGCCGCTCACGTGACTCGCCGCCGGCGCCGCCCGCCCGGCGCTGAAGCCGCCGCCGCCATGTTGACTGTGGGAACGACGTCGCCTCCCCCGCCAGCCGCGAAGGTGACTGGCGGCTCCGGCGCGGTCCTGCGGCGTGAAGCCTGACCCGCCATGTCTAGTGTGGGCGGTCCCGGCGCGGAGGGAGGCCCGGCTCAGACGGCGAAGGCTGCTGGGCGGGAGTCGGGGCCGCCTGAGCGGACCCTGAGGCGGTGAGGGCCTGACCCTGACCTGCGCCGGCGGGGCCGCTGCGTGTCCAGCCCGCGCATCCGGGCCCGGACTTCCAGGCGACGCGGGGTTGCAGTGACACCGCATCATCAGGCTCCCTTCCTGCAGCCCGGCCTTCCAGTGCCGCTGGCCTGGCCGTGTGGCTCGCGCCCGCCCGCGCACCGCAGGGTCTCGGGTTCGAGTCTTCCGTTCCCAGTCAAGGGCACGGACTTGGGCTGCTGGTTCGACTCCCCTCTTCCTGCGGGCGCAGTATCTCTCTCTCTCTCTCTCTCTCTCTCTCTCCACACACACACACCTTTTCAACCCTCTAAGAAAAATTCAATGGAAAGAATATCCTAGGGCGAGGATTACAAATAATAATAATAATAAAGTCCCGCTGCAGCCCGCCGTCATTCACTCATTAGGCCGGTGATGGCGAACCTTTTGAGCTTCAGCATTTTGAAAAACCCTAACTTAACTCTGGTGCCGTGTCACATATAAAAAATTTTTGATATTTGCAACCATAGTAAAACAAAGACTTATATTTTTTATATTTATTTTATATATTTAAATGCTATTTAACAAAGAAAAATCAACCAAAAAATGAGTTCGCGTGCCACCTCTGACATGCGTGTCATAGGTTGGCCATCACCCCCAGCTGTGGGCAAACTACGGCCCGCGGGCCAATCCAACCGTTGGGCTGTTCTATCCGGCCAGGAGCCGAAAGAGCAGAGGGTGCTCTCCCCTCCGCTCCTTCACCAGCAGCTGTGTTAAGAAGGCAGCGTCAGGAAACACGGCTGCAGCTCCTTCTTCTGAGTCCAGTTTAAGAACCCATTGTGGCCCTCCAGTCAAAAAGTTTGCCCACCCCTGCGCCTAGACACATGGTTATTGCTCCGCGCCAGGCACTGGGCTGGGCACCGGAGCGAGGCAAGGTGTGCAGCCCGCACCACCGCCGCCTGCCCCCCCACCCCCCCCACCCCCGCCGCTCACACTCCCGCACCACCGCCGCCTGCCCCACCCCCCACCCACACTCCCGCACCGCCGCCTGCCCCCCCACCCCCCTCACACTCCCGCACCGCCGCCTGCCCCCCCCCACCACCGCCGCCTACCACCCCCCCCCCCCCCCCCGCACTCCCTTGGTGCCGACAGCTGCTGAGTGCTGAGCTCGCACCACCCGCCTCTTCAATGCAGAGCCTTTCACGTGGGTGAGATGCTCACTGTTTCAAGCCCAAGTTCGTTTCAACGCCCCTAGACTTGACGTCTAAACGAAAGGTCACAGACCCGCAGGATCACCGGGGCCAAGATATGCTGAAGACTCCTGATGTTTCATCGTCACGGTGACCTGTTAATACAAGTGACTCTCAGGAAGGGCAGACAGCAAATGAGCATCCTTAAGGCGGTGGTTGCCCCTCGGCCCCAGCCAACTGTTCCATGTGGAAATGAGGGCTCAGATCACCCGATTTTTTAAAGAGAAGGGGGAAATCCTATTTTTAAATGTTTACTTAATTAAAAAAGAAAATATACAGCAGGGAAAAAAGTACATCTTTGGGCTGTCGTCAGCCCCAAACCCACTGGAGTGTGACTTCTGTAGATTCTCCTCTTTGCCAACCCTTGGCCTGAGCCTGGTTACTAGAGAGATGGGGAAGGGCTTTCTCTTCCCCTTAAAACATAAATCCCGCCTTACGCTGGATAGCAAAGTCATTGGCTTTTCCCTTTGGCCTCCCACCCCCCGGTAAGCAGGACCCTATGGTGACACCCCCAGGGTGCTCTGCACTAGCCCCCAAATCACCTCCATTCTCACCTAATCAAAGTATCCGTTCCTCACTCATGTGGAACTAACGCATCCGGACATCGGGAAGAAAACGGTGGGCACGACCTTTCAGACGTGGTTGAGTTTCTTCAAATATGAAGGTGGGGGGCGGGGGGGGGACATAAAAAGGAATCGTTTTTGGTGGAATTTCAAGCGGTCTGACATTTCATCACAATATCCAACCATTATGTTAACAGAGTTCGTTTGCTTGCTTCTCAGAGGTGAGAAGGGTCTTGGGGTCTCCCTGGGTGTAAAGCCCACTGGGAAGTTAGCCCCTCGGTTAGCTTCCCTATGCAGCTTTTCCTTTAAAAGCACGTCTCCGTCTGAGACTCAGATGTCCATGCCCCCCCATCACGCGTGCTCAGAATCCTCAGAGACTAGGTCTGCTTTGCTGGACATGGATGCCTAGTACTGACCATGGGTCTAATATGCTTGGTTGAATGAATAAACTGCTTCAGAGGAAACAGCGTAGCAAAAGCTTTCCATTCCCATGTCTCGTGCCGGGAGCCCACCCCTAATTTCAGCCACAACTATGAACTATGTGAGCCATTGCATGTGACAGCACCCCCAGTTCCACACCTGCTGTTTGTCTTCATCTCAGGCTCTGACTGAAGGAGAACCCAAACTCAGAGGTGGAGCAGCTTTAACTGGAGCTGGAGAGTTAGAGCCCCAGACAGATCTGGAATTGGCTGAGACAGGGCTTTCTCCTACCTGCTTCGAGCAGTCCCCAGCCTCCTCCCACAGGCTTTGTCCGTGTGACTATCCAGGCGGTGGCTGCTTCTCAGAACACCCTTTCTCTACTGGCATAAAAGCCTGGCATGCATATGCTACCATTCGGTGCTAACAAATGTTCTTTTTTTAATTTATTAAAGTGGGAGTTAAAGTGGAGCATAGCCTGAATATGACCCCATTGCTGGCCCTCCTCTCCAGTCCAAGCAAGCTACTTGGAATCCCTCTGTTGTCATGTGCTTCAAAGAAATGAGAGCTGACCCCAGGCCAGTGTGCTCAGTGGTTAGGCCTTGGCCCGAGCACCAAACAGTTCGATTCCCAATCAAGGGCACATACCTGGGTTGTAAATTTGATCCCGGCCCTCGTCAGGGCGCATGTGGGAGACAACGGGATGATGTATCTCTCTCCCATGGATGTCTCTCTCTCGCTCCCTCTCTCCCTTCCACTCGCTCTAAATAATCAATATCTGTATGAAGGTTGCCTCACTGGCTATCCACTAATGAATCAGATGAGCGTCTGCTGCTGTGAGGAGGCCTGTACCTTAGGGCAGGTGACAGATCGTAAGCTCAGTCCCAGATGGTAACAGTAGTGCTGTGACTGAGAGGTGCCAATTTTTGACAATCTAACCTTCCCCCTGCTTTATGTCACTTCTTAATCGCATAGTAAACTTCACATATATTTAGGGTTTTTAAAAATTCTGTTCTATCTCATTGCTGTGTGTCTATAATCCACGACAGCACAGATTTAGAATATATTGAAATGTTTGGTAGGGCTACACCTCCTAGTATTTTATTCACTGTTTGGTTGTTCTCTCAGAAGAATTCACTCCTTTGAGGGTATTAATTTATGTAGATTAATTTAGGTGAAATTGACATCATCAAAATTTCTCTTCCCTGAAAATAAAGTGTGTCTTTTAAAAATTGTACAAGCTTTTCATGTCCTCAGGTGAGCTGCTCGATACCCGTGCTTCCAATGGACTCCTCTTCTGCCTCAGCTAGTTCAAAGAAGCTCATGCTCTTCGCTGCCAAGAGTCTAAGATGGGCCTACGGGTCCGAGGAAAACAAGAAGCCGAGGCTCGTCTCTGCTGACGCCCGTTGGATAAAATTCCAGATCCGTTTCTGATAATAACCCTTTCTGAAGTAGGAATAAGTGGATGCCACTTTAATGCAATAAATAATATATATCTCAAACCAAAAGCAGGCATCATGCTTGCTAGTAAAGGCCTGGAAGCATTGCTGTTAGTGTCAGGAACGATCAAGCTTTCCCACTCCCATTACTACTACTTAACTGAATTCTGGAAGGGCACTCAGACAAGAGAGAGAGAGCAAATGAGGTACAAACAGCATAAGGAAGAGGCCAGGTCATCATCTCATGCACTGACACGAATGCCTGAAAGAAACCAGGAGAACCAACTGCAAATTAGGAGAAAGAACATCAGTGGCTGGTTACAAAATAATTTCTCCTAGAGACAAACAACTGAAAATATAATGACATAAAAATATCCCATTCATAGTATCAACAAACAGGAATCAACTTACGAATGTCACACAGACCTATGGAAAGAAACTATGCTGTTCTAAGGACATGAAAAGCTTCAGGCCAGACTTAGAAAGCCCAGGAGACAGCACAGAGCCAAGGCCCCGCTCAGGAAAAGGGCACGTGAGTGCGGCTGGACATGCGCTGCTGCCACAGGCTGGCCCACCACTGCACAGTGGCGGCCTCACGGCTGGACTCTTGGTTCTGCTATAGCCACCGTGACTGTTCGTGAGTGATTCGTGATTGAATGCTTGCTACCACCGTCCACATCCTAGGCCCCAAGTGGTTGGGCTGGACCCTTGGTCTAGTCACTCGCTGCTGGGAGAAGGGACGAGACCACATCCCCTACAGGGCGGACAGAGTGCCTCCCATCTGTCTTGAGATCCCCTCAAAAAAAAAAAAGGACTATGTTTAATGCTGGCAGCCAAAAATGACAACTATCCACTGCAAACTATTCATGTGTGTGTCATATTGATCACATTGAGTGTATTGCTTTATGTACTTGCTAACATAGCATACAGAAACTTATCTTTTTTTGTTGTTGTTAATCCTCA